TGTGAAGAATTCCCTCTGCTCATTAATTTTATTCCTGAGCTCATTGAACTCTGAGTTTTCTTGTACCTGGTTGAGTTTCTTTATGATATCTATTTTGAATTCTCTGTCATTTAGATTGCACATTTCTGTGACTTCAAGATTGGTTTCTGGATACTTGTCATTTTCCTTCTGGTCTGGAGTGTTAATTTCTTCATGCTATTTGATGGGGTGGATCTTTGCCGGCACAACAGTGGTAGTATATGGTTGCAGATTCCACCTGCCACCATTGGGGGACAGGAGGTGTGTTTGCTGAGCCTGCTGCATCCCCTGTCAGTTGTGCCTGTCCACTGGAAGTCGTACTGATAGGGCTCTCTGTGCCTGGCCACTTCATATACACAGGCACAGGCAGTCTGACAGGGATCCTCTGCCCTTGCCAACCAGCCAAGCTGGTGCACCAGGTGGGATGGGGGTAACGGGGCACTTTCTTTCCTGCCTGCACTCCTGCTCTTCACTCACTGGCTGCCTGCCTGGGCTCCTCAGCTTGGGGGCGGGTGCAACTCCACGGTGACTTAGCCACATGGTGTGGAGTGGTCTCGTGGACTGGGAGGCAACTCTGAGAGTGAAAGCATTCCCATGGAGGGCTGCCTTTCCACTGTCTCCTCTCAGATCGCAGGGCGGCCACCACATGAGGTCCCACACCCTAGATCACTGCCTCTGGGGAGGGGGAGGAGATCCACTTGTCTCCTTCCACTGCTTCCTCAGGGATCCAGTGCCCCCACCTTCAGACGTATGGCTGCATCGTTCTCTCAGAAGTCTACTGTGTTGTGTGGACGTCCTCCACTGGTTAATGAATGTCCTTTTCATTGTATCTTAGTGGGGACAGCCTAAAGGAACAGCTCACTCTGCCATGATGCTGACATTGCTCCTCTTATGGGGTGCATTTTGATCTGTTTTGTGGGCATGCTTTTTGAAGTGTTTTTATTGTAGATATGTTATTCTATTGTTTATTCTTATAATAACTTCGTGTGGGATTTAACCTTGGTACTCTTCTATTACTCAATTTTTAAATTTTATTAAATATTTTTGTTTTGAAATATAACACACACAGAAAAGTGCACAGAATATAAATGTACAGCTTAACAAATTATTACAAAGCAAATACTATTATAAGCATCACTCAAGATTAAGAACTAGAACACTACCCATGCCCCTGAGCCTCCTCACCTTCCCCCTCCCAATCAAAAGCCCCTCACTCCTTTAGAAGTCATAACCACTATCAGGACTTTTATGACTGTTTTTGTTTTGTTTTGCTTCTTACAAGTTTTACTATTTAGGTAGGCATCCTTAAACACTATTGTTTAGTTTCACCTGTTCTTGAATATCTTAAATGGAATCATATAGATTGTATTCTTTTGTATCTGACTTCTTTCACTAACATTCTGCTTGTGAGATTCACCTACTTCACTGTGAGCAACTACAGTTTTTCCTGCCTATATAATATTCCAGTGTAAGAATATACCACAATTCACTTATCCATTTTACTGTTGGACATATGAGTTGTTTCCAGTTGGGGGATAATATCTGTAATTCTGATACACATCTTTTGGTGAATATGCATGTATATCTATCTACAGGGTATATTCATAAGAGTAGAACTGTGGGGTTGCAATATATATTCAGATTTAGTAGATGGTACCAAATGATTTCCCTAAGTGGTTGTACCAGGTTAGACTCTAACCAGCAGCGTATGATATTTCTCTTTTCTTCCCACTCTCCCTCCTTCTTTTTCTTTCTTCCATTTACTTTTTTTTTTTTTTAAGATTGGCACCTGAGCTACCAACTGTCACCAATCTTTTTTTTTTTTTCCACTTTTTCTCCCCAAATCCCCCCAGTACACAGTTGTATATTTTAGTTGTGGGTCCTTCTAGTTGTGGCATGTGGGATGCCACCTCAGCATGACCTGACAAGCAGTGCCATGTCCACACCCAGGATCCAAACCAGTGAAACCCTGGGCTGCAGAAGCAGAGCATGTGAACTTAACCACTCGGCCATGGGGCTGGCCCCTCTTCTAGTTACTTATTCATTAACCCACATTAACTGACAGTCTCCGGACTAAGCCCTGGGTATCTATCTTAGTCTGTTCAGGCTACTATAACAAAATACAACAGACCGGGTAGCTTATAAACAACAGAAATATATTTCTCACAATTCTAGAGGCTGGAAGTCCGAGATCAAGGTGTCAGCATGGTCGCTATCTGTTGAGAGCCCTCTTCCTGGTTCATAGCCAGCACCTTCTGTGTCTTCATATGGTAGAAGGGCTAGGGAGCTCTGTCTGGTCTGGTTTTTTTTGGTGAGGAAGATTGGCCCTGAGCTAACATCTGTGCCAATCTTCCTCTACTTTATGTGGGATGCCGCCACAGTGTGGCCTGACAAGCAGTGCTAGGTCTGCACTCAGGATTCAAACCTGTGAACCCCGGGCCACCTAAGTGGAGAGTGCGAACTTAACCACTATACCACCAGGCCGGCCCCCGTTGGGCCTCCTTTATAAGCTCATAATCTCATACATGAGGGCTCTGCCCTCATGACCTAATCACCTCCCAAAGGTCCCATCCTAAGACCATCACATTGGGCATTAGCACCTCAACATATGAACTTTGGAGGGACACAAACATTCAGTATCTAATGGTGAACTAAAAAGAAGTCAAGATCTATATCTCCTAGGAGTCCTCTCTGCTCCCCTAATTCAGTGAGCAGAGGAATGGGAAACTCCAGGACTATCCGAGTCCTCAAAAGATCTGAGGCAGAGTCTGGGGAGGAGCACAGCAGCCAAATTCTCCCTCCCGGAAAGCAACATGGCAGAGACTCTGACTGTGCTGACCAGCCCCATACTGGGGAAAGGGGCTTTCCCTTCACATTGAGGGAGAGTTCATCAAGCCCCTTCCCCGTTAAACATCTGACCACAACGGGAGCAGCCACTAGGTGCCCACCTGTTCCTGGAGGCTTGGGCACTGTTTGCTTTTTTTTTGAGGTAAAATTCATGTAACACAAAATTCACCATTTTAACAATTTTAAAGTGTATGATTCAGTAGCTTTTAGTACATTCATAATGTGCAACCATCAGCACTAACTGCAGAATATATTCCTCACCCCCAGATTCCACCCAAGCCCATTAAGCAGTCATTCCCCATTCCCCCCTCCCCCAGGCAACGGCAACCACTAACGTGCTTTCTGTCTCTATGGATCTGCCTCTTCTGGACATGATACAAACAGAATCATAGAAAATGTGACCTTTTGTGTCTGGCTTCTTTTGCTCAGCATAACGTTTTGGTTTATCCGTGTCATAGCATGCATCAGAACTTCATTTGTTTTTATGGCTGAATAATATTCCATTGTGCGAATACACCAGATTTTGTTTATCCATTCATCAATTGATAGACATTAGGGTTGCTTCCACTTTCTGGCTATTACAAATATTGACATTGCTATAAACATTTGTGGACAAGTTTTTGAATGCATGTTTTCATTTCTCTCAGGTATACACCTAGGATTGGAAATGCTGGGTCATATGGTAATTCTATGTTTAACATTTTAACCAATTGCCAGACTGTTTTCCACAGCAGCTGCACCATTTTACATTCCCACTAGCAATATATGAGGGTTTCAACTTGTCTAATTCTTGACAACATTGTTATTTTACATTTTCTGTTCTTTTTTTTATAGCCATCCTAGTAAGTGTGAAGTGATACGTCATTGTGGTTTTGATTAGCATTTCCCTAATGACTACTGATGTTGAGCATCTTTCCATGGGCTTATTGGCCATTTGTATATCTTCTTTGAAGGAATGTCTATTTAAGACTTTTGCTAATTTTTTAATTAGGTTGTTCATCTTTCTGTTGTTGAGTTGTAATAGTTCTTTACATATTCTAGATACTATACCCTTATTAGATAACTGATTTGCAAATATTTGCTCCCATTCTGTGTTGTCTTTTTACTTGATATTTACTTTCATATTTTCTTGATGATGTCCTTTGATGCACAAGTTTTTAATTTTGATGAAGTCCAATCTAATTTATCTATTTTTTTCTTCTGTTGCTTGTGCTTTTGGTGTCATATCTAAGAACATTTTGCCAAATCCAAGGTCATGAAGATTTACCCCTTGCTTTCTTCTAAGAGTTTTATGGTTTCAGCTCTTACATTTAGGTCTTTGATCCAGTCTGAATTAGCTTTCACATATGATGTGAGGAAGGAGTCCAACTTCACTCCTTTGCATGTGGATATCTAGTTGGCCCAGCACCACTCACTGAAAAGACTATTCTTTTCCTATTTAATGGTCTTGCCACCCTAGTCAAAAATCAATTAACCATAGATGTATGGGTTTATTTCTGGATGGTCAATTGTATTCCATTGATCTATATGTCTATCCTTATGCCAATAGCACACTGTTTTGATTACTGTAGTTTTGTAGTAATAGCTTTAATAGTAAAGTTTTAAAACTGGGAAGTGCAAGTCCTCCAATTTTGTCCCTTTTCAAGACTGTTTGGCAATTTGGGGTCCCTTCCAATTCCAAAAGCATCTAAGGATCAGCTTCTCCATTTGTGCAAAAAAAAGCAGCTGTCATTTTGATAGGATTGCATTGAATCTATAGATCACTTTGGGGGAGTACTGCCACCTCTACAGTATTTTGGCTACTGCATTTCTACATACATTTTAGAATCGGCTTAATCAATTTCTACCAAATTGCGAACTTCCACCTGCCTGTACTGCCATGGTCTTCCTCCCCAAAAGCTTTCCTACATTTGTTACACAGGACATCCACAAACTAACTCAGATATTAAACCACTGGAAAGGTTATCACTTCCTTCTACATTAGAAAATTTCCTTCTTAGAAGAGCAAGCTGAAATCACAGTAAATTTACTGAACCTACCTTCCTCTCAGCTCTTAAAATAATTTACAAAATGTGAATTTATAGATTAATGAAAATAAGAATTTTCCTAGTCACAAGATAAAGAAATCGTCTTACCTGTATAGCAAAAGTACCAACTCCACCTGAAGCGCCCAAGATTAAAACACTGCAATGCAAAAGAGACTGCAATTAATGAAACTGTTAAGCCAATATAACTAGATAAATAGGCAAGATGTCTTCTGCATGTAACTGGCTCAAAGATAAACATCCCCAAAGCAAATAAAGTCATTCAGCTTCCCAAGATTCTATTACACAAGGATTTTTATTTTAGGTTCACCAAGAAGCTATAAATGCTTAAAGTTAGACATTCTATGAACTCTTTACCAAGAATACCAAATACCAAAAATACCAATAATTTGTATTTTTAAAAGTAGCTCAGATGGTTCTTGGTAGCATCTGCCTTACAATTTTTCTAGGCTAAAATTACCATAGCTCTCTCTATAGGAAGCAGCTCTGGGATTCTTTTCAGTGTGTTAGATTCAGTTGCTCTCTAAGAAAAATCACATTCCTGACCACATTCCTGCCAAAGTGGAATAAAGAATCTTCTGTTCAGACATGTCCCCGCGTCAAGCTCATCAACTTTCACAAATGGAAATCAACCTTATGCTCAATTTGGCTTGGCTCAAAGCCGATGAATCCACCCCATCAGCACAAACACGCTCTGCTCCAGGTTTCCGCCGTTTGCTCACTCCAGCCCTCCTGCCACTCCAGGCCAAGGTGAGCAGCCTGGAGTTTAGGGATGGGGGTGACAGGGTGAACTCTCCGAAATTATGTATCAACTGAAATAATATGCAGAATTTGGTGTGATTATGCATATGTGCATCAGGGAGGAGAGGGATCCAGACCTATCGAGTTCCCAAAGAGGTGCGTGACCCAAAAGAGAATGACTAGTCAAGAATCACTGCTCTGCACACACTTACATCTTATTCTTGAATTAAGCTAGAGCACCAGCGAACCACTTTCCTTGGACTGCAGAGTTTCAGGGCCCCTGAAAACTGTTTGTACTAAACTGCACTTTGCTGTAATGCTACTGATCTAGGCTGAGGGACATTATACAAAGGGACTGTTTGATATTTGATACTACATTAGCTAAGGAAACATGTTGAGAGAATTCTTTATGAGAATTCTCTTGGAGTGCCCACAGAAAAACATTTTTCTGAAGACTACATGGTGGGAGTAGCTGTGCTTACATTTATCTGTCACTGCAAACTGTGTAACTGCTGGTTGTGGGTCCCTCTTTGACTTGTCTGCTAGAAAGTGCAGAGAATTTTATCACTTATCTCTAAGAAGTACACCAGATCTTGGAACATGCACTCTGTCTACAATCTTACCCTAGTTTCATTTTATTTTTTTCTCTTACTCAAATCACAGAAGGCTGTGTGTCGCCCTTTAGATCTTAAAAGTTTTTAGTAAAATTTCTGAGCCAACAGTTCCCTTTGAAATTAATACCATTAAATGTAATTAAAACAAGTCTCCTTGTAAATTATGTTCCTTCTAGAAGAGTCACTTTCAATTTCAAAGAATTATAAATTGTGAAGAATAAAAGAAACTTCAAAGATGAACTCCTGCAAAATCCTTCCATTCACACATTTAATAGCTTTAGTACTTCCTAAATGGGGAAAAAAAGACACTAAAACTGCCTCACAGATACATCCAAAAATTAATTCATCCATGGAATATTTTACCCTCTAACTTTGGCCCACTCTTATAGAAATTTAACTAGTCAAACTCTCATTTAAGTCCTTCATAATCTAATCTTTATCTCAACTCTGACTTCCTCTAACTATTTCCCGAACGGAACTCTCCGCCTCAGCCACTGGGGTCCCATGCACGTTGGCCCATTCCTCAGACTCTCACATGCCTTCCCCACCTGCTAAGGTCTGCCTTCCCGTGAAGGCTCACGTCCCAGTTTTCCTGCACTACACCCTGAGACAGCCCCGAAACTGATATCCTTTCACGCATTTGGCATCTGTCACCTTGTTAACTTTCATTCATACGCGTGCTTCCCAAGCTATTCTGCGAGGCTTCAAGGACAGAGGCCTCATTTTATGCCCAGCACTGGGTATACTACCCTGGATGCAGCAGATGCCTGATGAATGTTTCTTGACTTTAAAAATCATCTAAATGAGCATCATATCCCACAATTAAGGCAATAATTGCTACTACCCCAAATGAGGGAATCACCTGGCTATTTGCAAGACGGCATTAAAGTTTCCTCTAGTACAGAAAAGCTTGAAATTAATTTCTAATCCTCTCCCTGAGAATCCTGGATTACAAGGATACCCAATGTAACAGCTGCTTAAGGCTCCAACTGTCAGACACAACTCCGACCTCATTACTGTCAGTTCACTGCTTCCCCACAACTCTTGAGCCAAAGCAGCCTCATTTCTCCAGATGAAAAAGCAAAAAAGTGGTTCACAGCAGTGCTTGGCAGAAGAGGGAGTGGCTGTGCAACAGCAGCTTCAGTTCCTGAGGTTGCCACTTGGTGGCATCCCCCGGTGCAAAACAGGTGAGGAGCACGCCCAGGGAAGGGCTAGCCGCCCTTAGCTGCTCAGAAGCCCTGGGGACGCGGCGTTCTCTGGTCCTCTCAACTCCACGTTTTGTGCAGGTTCAACCAGGGCCCGTACTTCTCTTCAAACAAAGAAAGTCCCAAAAAGGGACAGCAGGCAAAATAAATGTCAAGCCAGCAATAAATCAGATGGTCCTCTACGGTTTGAAGTCCTGGGGCTGAACTCACTGTTCTTGTTGTACTCTTCAAAGCCCTTTCAATACAGAGGAAAATACTGCTGTTGCTACCCCCGGTGGCCTTCACTTAAGCGCTACACAGCGGGAATACTTTCCACCCAGCTTGCTATAATGGCCACACTGTATTTCAATCCTCGCTGAAGTAGAAGCCTGTTTATTATGGTGAAGAACGGTGTGCTGTATTGCTTATTGGTTTATGCAGAGCAAATGCCCAGGAAATGCTCTATTTGCAAAAAGCACTATAATACAAAATTGCCAACATTTTTAGTCACATTACTCTCTTACTTCCTAAGTCCACATATAGAGCTTTCCTGGTCAGTGGGAATTGCACTGTGGCAAATATAAAAGAGATTAGGGGAAGTATGAATAATTATTACACTGCTTATGCATCCTTAAACCCTAAAATCTAATTTCCTCTATCATTTCTGCCCAATCTCTGAATTCTCCCCAAACATACATCAAGGGACTAAAGCAATGCTGGCTTCCTTTCCGTGACTGGGTCACTTTTTATTTAGCACTTGGGCACCTAAGTTCCCTAAAAACACACTTCCCAGGATTAGTCTTATGAGGCAAGGCATCAACACGCTAACTGCATTATAGATAAAAAACAGATGACACATATGACAAAACAGCAGGAGGTCCAGAAGTAGGAAGTCATCTTTCAAATGTCAATATTCCAGCTTAGCCCCAGAAACCTCTGAATGCCAGGGCTGGGTATCTAGAGACCCAGGTTCTAGTCCCAGCTCTCTCACTAACTGAATCTCTAGGCCTCAGATTCATCACCTGTGAAACGATGATCACAGAGGTGTACTCTAGGAGCCAATGAAAAGGAAAGAATTGGCATTTTCAATCTAATTTAAGCTTATATTTAGTTTCTCCACCTTTCTAACATACAAGTATATGACCTTCATGATTCCCCCCAGACCACATACTTGTGGGGGGAAAAAAGCAACATCACAAGAGTAAAGTGCCCTTTATTAAGTCCTGAGGGCTCAGAAACAAAGATGATTTAAATATAGCTAAATCCTCCATCAGTAAAAACAAATGGTCTTTAAAAAACAAGGATGAGGCTGAAAATGTATAATCTCATTTTTCAGTTTCACATACTACTTTTAAATCTGGGGGAAAAAATGAGTGAAAAATAGCGAAGTATATAATAATATGTTAAGTTTACTCCCCAAAGTGAGTGAGATACTTAATCTGAATACTAGTCATACGCCCATAACCACATTTCGGTCAACAATGGACTGCACATATGATGGTGGTCCCACAAGATTAGTGCCATACAGCGTAGGTAAGTGGTAGGCTGTATCATCCAGATTTGTGTAAGTACGCTCTATGATGTTCGCACAATGATGAAATTGCCTAATGACACATTTCTCAGAAAGTATCCCTGTCATTAAGCAACACATACCTGTAAGTGGAATAGAGCTACAAAACAAATCAACCAGACATCACCAAGACAGCCTGGATTTGTGTGTCCCCTTCTTCTAAGGCTCTATACTGCTTAGACATTCCCCAATTTACAGAAGAGTTCATGTAATTAGCTGCTTGGAACTTAACACATTTTCCCATGAAAACAAAGCTATTTATACATCTTGGCAAGGTGCCCAGGGTAGCCATTTAAAAAGGTTTAGTTAACCCATAATAGACCACGAACCTCATAAATGTATAACAATGGTTCTGTGGGAAATGTATTCAGAATTTCAATCCAGGGTACTGGGAACACATCTCCCCAAATGGGATAAGCAGTGAGAACTGTCCCAAGTCACTGGTTCCTTCAATCTGGTGCAGAACAGAGGGAAGGAAGGATGACAGAGGGAAGGATCATTTACGATGGAAACAATAGGATGGGTGAGAGAGAGAAGTAGCGTGGCCAGAGAAAGATTTACCATGGAGCTGATGGGATTCAGGACATGCTACCCCAAAATATGGCACACTGGCATACAGAATATCTTAAGCTGAAGGATTTGAGAAACGGCACGTGCAAGAAGGACTCTGACCTTCTCCCCTGAAGCTGGTCATAAGAACCACGTGTGAGACGTGTCCTCCCTATACTTGGAGGAAAGGAGCATCCTTAATTCCAAGAGGGAGGGACAGAGAGAGGAATCAGAATGAATAGGCATTGTTAAGTTTCTCCACTTTACTACACTTAGCTCATACCTTTTGTCCTCTCACATTTTTTTACAGCTCTCCACTCTTCACCAATCACAGCACAAAAAAGCTCAGGTTTAACCACTTCTTCAGGTCTTCATTTCCTTATGAAGGCTCCTACGTCACATAAACCTTGTAATAAATAAATTTGTGTGATTTTCTCTTGATCATCTGTCTTCTGTTACAGGGGCTCCAGCTAAAAACTTA